CACATTTTCTCATCTAATTAAACAGTTGTTTTGTTTTCTCTGAATATTTTTAAATGCCTTACACCTGCCATTGATTGCCAAAAAGACATTCATTGTGGAAATCCTAATCAGTTGATAGAGCTGACCGACCTGCTGCTTCTTGAGATACGTGCTCATACTTCAAGGAATACTTGCTTTTGCTTAGAGCTGGTTTTCTCCTGACCCTTCCTAAAGCATGTACAGTTAACTTCAGGCAGAATTCTGAGCTGCTTCCTCAAAAAATCAGTTTGTCAAGGTAACAAACCTCAATTATTATGTTTCTCTGAAAAACAAGTGAAAGAAACCACAATTATAGCTTTTTTATCCTCCTTCCCATACACACTTGTTGGTGTTTTTGTTCTCTGATTCTGTGTGCATGTTCTTTTAGTCTGTTTAAAGGTAAATACAGATTTCACTAATATACATACGAACTTGGATTATTTCTCTTGTGCATTTCCTTCCACAGATTATGAGAACAGGCATTCTGTTTGATGTCTTGGAAGATGCCAGTTATCTGTTAGAACTCCTTCCCATTTCTCTAAAATACATTTTCTAGTTCTGTTCTTTTCAGGCTAAGCTCACCAAAAATTTATGTCTTAGAGTATGAAATGAGGGGAAAATGCTGTCCACTAACTGGATTGAGCCCATCTGGGTAGATACAGTAATAGTTTTAGAAAGGGAAGGTATGTGTACAGTTGTAATTTATTTTTGTTGTTGTTGTTGTGTCATCGAGTTCATGCTGACTCCTAGTGACCTATGAAACGGAGTAGAACTGCCCCTTAGGGTTCCTAGGCTGTAATCTTTAAGGAGGGGCCCTGGTGGCACAGTGGTGAAAGCGCTGGGCTGCTAATTGAAAGGTCAGCAGTTCAAACTCACCAGCCCCTACACAGGAGAAAGATGTGGCAGTCTGCTTCTGCAATGATTACAGCCTTGGAAGCCCTGTGGGGCAGTTCTGCTCTGTCATGTAGTGTCGCTGTGAATCGGAATCGACTTGATGGCAATGGGTTTGGTTTTTGTTTGGTTTAGTCTTCACTGGAGCAGATCACCGGGTCTTTTCTCCCGCTGAGCCGCTGGGGGGTTCAAACTCTCACTGACCTTTTGGTTAGCAGCCGAGCGCTTTAACCACTAAGGTGATTAAGCCGAACACTTAATCACCAAGGCATCTTTGATTTATTTTTATAAAGCAATCGTAAATGTTACCATGTGAAATAACCATAAATACATTTTTTAAAGGGAGGAGCCAAAGCAAGGGAGCCTAGCCTACTTGACCAAAGTAGAAAGAAAAAGTGACTCTACACTATCCCTCTTAGTTTTATTATTATTATTATTTTCTATTTAATTGTCTTTCCTAGTGGGTGTTGGCCTTATCTTTCTGGTGGAAGCAGGCTGTAGCAGACAGAACACTGGACTAGGAATCAGAAAGCTTGATTTTCAGATCAGGCCCTCTCCTAACCAGTTCTGTCATCTTGAGCAAGTCACAAACTTTCTAAGCCTCTGCTGCCCCCTGCCCCCCCCCCCCGTGTAAAAGTGATATAAGATCTGCCTTGCTTACCCCTACAGAGCTGTGAGAGCATGATTAGAGATGGAATATGTGAAGTCATTCTGTAGACAGACCATCAGCGTGAACGTGTGACCCGTGATGTTCTTAGCTAGAAACAGTAGCCATTCTGGAATTCCTCCCTCCTGGGCAGACTTGGCTTAGCATCCCTCTAACCCTACTACTCACCGTCTCAAGAGTCTGTTCTTCCCTTCTGTATCTCCCCTCATTCAAGGCCACTTCCTTTGTCTTGTGTAATCGCCTTAGGCGGGGTGGCCTTGAGCACTGAATAACCAGGCTGTTTCTTACCATAGATAGGAAGCCTCCTTAGTTTAGATTCAAGTCCTGGAGACATGGATCATTCCAGAAAGAAAAAAGGGGAAGCATGCAATGCAGAGTACAAATTCAGAACGGTTTCTAATGACCTTTGCCTAAACTGCTGTGTCTCAATTGGAGCCCCTTTACCGGGTGTAATTCCAATGGTTGATCAGGAAAGAAGGAAACGTGATAGTAAAAGGTAAGAGTGTGGACTTGAGTCAGACAGGCCAGCCTGTTTTTAAATCCTGACTTGCTCCCTTGCTTATGGTTTTCACCAGCCTTGGAAAGTAGATCCGATGAGGTGATCTTTGGCCTCTTTATCTCCCTGCTTCCACAGGAGTTCTTCTGTGAGGGCAGACAACTGTGCATTGACTTAGTTATGATTGTATTGGAAATTCAGTTTACCTTTTTAATAACAACCCAATTATATGTTTTGAATATACAGAAGTATACACTACACATTATAATATCTTATTTTCTCAACAAAAAAATCAGGTCTTGAAAACTGATAAGTTAGAGTATATTTGTGGGGGCAGCAGGTCAAAATCTTTGAAAGAAGGACTGTCCTGGATAATGAAACGCTTGGTTGCCATACCAAGAAGAAACCCGTTACTGATGATTCTGACTCATAGCAACCCTGTAGCCACATACTGTATAACACCTGTTGTTGTTGTTAATTATCATTGAGTTAGCTTTGACTCCTAGCAGCCTTATGTATAACAAAACAAAATGTTGCCCAGTCCTGCAACATCTTCATGATTGTTGGTATGTTTGAATCCATTGTTGTGACTATTGTGTCAGTC